TATGTCATGTGTGTGCCCACGCCCTCAGAGGGCAGAAGAACTTGAGAGGAAAAGAGGACCATTGGATTTCCCTGGAGCTGGAGCTATGAGCCACTGATGTAGGTGCTGGGAACTGAACTCGGGTTCTCGGGAAGCAGCAGGTACTCTTAAATTCTGAGCCATCTCTCCAGACCCTTGTTGGTGCTTTGTAAGAAATCTTTCCCAACTCCAAGGCCATAGGGTAACCTACGCTGTTTTCTAAAAGTCTTATTTATTTTCATTTTTGTTCTTTAGAAGTCAGTCTCACTCTCCTTGGACTGTTTTTTGTTTTTGTTTTTTGAGGTAAGGGGGCAATTTTAATTTTTCCTATTGTATTAACTATGCTTAGTTTTATCTTATTAAGCAGGGCAGTACTTTGTACAGCCTACATAAATGTTAAAATAGGACTCTAATTGTTTTTCTACACTTGCCATAGAGCCAGCTTGTCAGACTCGGTGCAAATCCACTGGGCTGGAGAGATGCCTCAATGGTTACAAGCAGCTGCAGCTCCTACAGAGAATGAAGTTTGACGCCCAGCCCCCACGGGGCAGCTCACAACCTGCAGTAACTCCAGGTCCACCGGATCCGATGACCTTTTCTGTCCTCTGTAGGTACTTCATGAACACACATACATGCAGGCAAATATCCTTACACATAAAATAAAAATAAATACAAATCTAAAAATCTATTTCTGTAACTTAAAATTTTTTAATTTATTTTTATTTTATGTGCACTGGTGTTTTGCCTGCATGTATGTATGTGTAAGGGTGTTGGAACCTCTGGAACTGGAGTTGCAGTCTTAAGCTGTCACGTAGGTACTGGGAATTGACCCCAGGTCCTCTGGAAGTGTGACCAGTGCTCTTAACCGCTGAGCCATCTCTCCAGCCCCCCCCCAAATCTGCTGATATCTTTATTATAATGTGCTATATAGATTCAATATCGATTGAAATGATATCTTTATATTGTTCTAATGCTGATAATTGCTTATATTTTAATTGTTGCTGCATCTGATTGACAACTACTTTGGAACTACTATCATTTGTATTAATGTTCCAGAAAATGTATGGACTTTATTTTTATTGCCTTTTAAAATTGATTTTATCATTAATATTATTTATTTGATTATAAATATACATAAGTTTGACTGTATCTACCCGTTCAAAGCTAATATACAAAGTGTTTTTCCGTGGTGTTAAGGACACTCGTATCGCTGTTCGGCTATCACCAGCATCAATCTCTTGTGCTTCCTCCCGTTTTTAGACTGTAACTTATTACTCATTACAAACTCCTCTCAACCTTTGGCTACCATCAAGCCCACTTTATGCCTGCTTTAGGACCTCTTATGAGAGGAATCCCACCTGTAAGTGGGATTTCACACGGCATTTTACTTCTGCGACTGCCTTCTATCATTATGTGAGTGTGAAGTGGAATTCCATTTTGGTTTTGATTTGTTTTTCTCTAATGTGTTAGTCATTTCAAGGAATTAGATGGTGGCTTTATAATTTATCCTGTTGGTATACATGCTGTCCTTCCGGTCTTTATTTTTCCTCTTATGACTTTCCTTAGAGATTTATTCTGCTTTCACTTCTGGCATTGGATGCTGCTACTGGTGTCTGCACAGTTGATTTGGAACCAGAAGTATGTGGCATATACACAGGAGGGACAAGTACAGACAGCTCGGTGACTCTGGCTTCGTAGAGCCTCAGAGTTATATAGGTTCTTTTGTACATGTCTATGTGGAGTGCATAGGCTGAAGACACTAAGACATGTCTTTCTCTGAGGTTACAGGTTTCTTTCAGTCTTTGTTTTTGTTGTTTGTTTTTATTCTGTGGTCACAATGTCACAAGGTTGTGGTTGGGGATCCTCAGGACACAGGGGAAGCTCTAGATAGTTTTCTTAAGACACAGAGGGAAGCCAGTCACTTCTAGAACATCAGTGGTGAGTGGCACCTTGATCTATGCTTAGCTCTGAACCAGGAATAAAAATCAGAATGGCCATATATAGCCATTTTCCATATGTAGCACTATTATCCAGACCCAGGATATTTCTAGTTTGCAGTAATAATTTTTCTCCTTGATTTATAAAGATGTTCAGAAATATGGCTCAATTCCATGCTTGTTTCTTCCCACTATTAACTGAAGCATTACACTATTATGTTAGTTTCTCTATTTACACTTATTTAAAGTTTACAAATTAAATACTTTCAACATGTTCCCAAACAGAAAACAAAACAAAAAAAAATCCCATAGGCTGTTTAAACTGATTACTATCCTTTGCTAATTAATGTACTGTTTTGTTGTTGTTGAGTTTGTTTTTGAGATGGGATCACTATGTACCTTAGGCTGTCCTTGAACTTGTAGTTTTTCTGACACCAATGTCAAGTGTTAAGATTTTGGGCAAGTGTCACCATTCCTGGCCAATACACTATTTTAATCCAGTAAATTAGTTCTAACAACTTTAACTCCATTCGTGTTTTATATAGATGACGTGTATCTATGCCCATCCATGTATTTACTTATACTTCAGTTTAATAATCCACTTGATTTCTTGGGTCTTTTATCTGTGATCTTTCCCTTCTCTTCTATGAGTACATCCTTCAGAGTTTGGCGAACAATAACATTTCTCAGTTTTTGTTATGTTTGAAATTTCTTTGATTCATTTCCTTTATTGATAGTTTGACAGACTTTTGTTCAGTTGAAGATACAGTGTCTCTTAATGCCTCTCCTGCTCCTAAGAAGACTGTTCAAAGGGCCACTTTTGTGTACATCTGTTTCTAGCATCTCTGAGGCTGCTCATCTCAGGTTATTTAGTTTCTTAAGAAGGTACTTATTTAGGGCTGGAGAGATGGCCCCATGGTTAAGAGCACTGAGACCCAAGTTCAATTACCAGCATCCATGTATTGGCTCACAACCATTTGTATATCTCATTCCAAGGGATCAGGTGTCCTCTTCTGGTCTATGTGAGCACTGCACACATGTGGTTCACAGACATGGGAAGCAAAACATGAAAGTGAATTTTTTTTTTTTAAGCAAGGAAGGTAAGTAGCTATTTACAATTTCCTTTAGTTGTTTTTTATGAGATTTGTTGGGTTTTCTGGGCCTTAGGTTTAGCATTGTTCCAGGATTCTGTAATTCCCCCTTCCCCATTGTCTGTTATTATCTCCCTTTGGAAATATATATAGAACATCTTAGGTCATCTGTTTAGTTGCTTAATGTTTCACTGTTTCTTTTCTTGTCTCCCTGAGGTATATGACAGATTTGTTCAGACCAATTTTCTAACTCACCAATGTTTCAGTCACTTAATAATTTTTACTTTCTTCTTCTTCTTCTTTTGTATTTTTCTTTGTTTGTTTGTTTTTTTGTTTTTCGAGACAGGGTTTCTCTGTATTGCTTTGGAGTCTGTTCTGGAACTTTCTCTGTAGACCAGGCTGGCCTTGAACTCACAGAGATCCTCCTGCCTCTGCCTCCAAGTGCTGGGATTAAAGGCGTGTGCCACCAACACTTGCCTGAAGTTTTACTTTCTAGTGTATGTATGTATGTATGTATGTATGTATGTATGTATGTATGATAATCTAGAAGTTTCATTTATATATTTTAAAGATGCATTTTTAATTGCATGTGCATGAACTCATGTATGTAAGCACACCTTTCATGTGTTTGATGCCTGTGGAGGCTAGAAGAGGATGTTGGACTTCTTGGAATTAGAGTTACAGCCAGTTGTGAGCTGCCATGTGGGTGCAGGGAACTGAACCTGGGTCCTCTGTAAGAGTAGCATGTTCTCTTAACTACTGAGCCCATCTTCCCAGCTCCCCATTTACATACTTTTAAAATCTGCACAGTAATTTTTCTAGTCTTGCCTCCTTAATTATATTTTCTTTCCTTTTAGATTTTGGTTTTTGGAAATAGGGTTTTCTCTGTGTAGCCCTGGCTGACCTGGAGCTCATTCTATAGACCAGGCTGGCCTCCAGCTTAGACATCCAGAGTTCTGGGATTAAAAGCACATGCCACCAAGCTCATCCTTGAGCCTGTTTTCAAAGCTCTTTAAATGTTCCGATGCAAGCTAAGGTGTTTATTTACATGTTTTGCTAACCACCTCAGTAAGGGAGTACTTCTAGGCCCAACTCTACTGTCTCATGCTCTGCTGGCTTCTACTCAGGATGAATCATTTCTTGGTGTTGAAGCTGGAGCTGCCTTTCTTCTAGAGGGGTTTTTTCCCTAGGGCTTTGAATCATGTAGGGCTGCTAGTGGTATTTACTCTGGTATATTATCACACAGGAAAACTCTACTGAAATCGCCTTCTCCTTCCTCTGAACTTCTCAAAAGAAATAGTCTCGTAAGGGATGATCAATGTATGAAAGGACTGATCCTGATTCTTATCAGCAGGGATCAAAACCCAGATTAACCTGAAGTGAGAACACGAGAAAGGAGACGGTATGGTGGCTCAAGCTGCAAGCACGGCAGAGGGAGGGGGCTCATTCCCAGGTTGAGGATACTATAGTGAGTTCTAGGCAAGCCAGAATTACATAGTGGCACCTGTCTCAATCCCGTTTACTCCTCACAAAGAAAAATTAGTAAAAAAGAAATGTCACTCTTATTTTTTTTTCCCAATAGGGGTTCATGTAGCCCAGGTTGGCCTCAAACGCCTTACTTAGCGAGGATGACCCTGAACTTCTCTTCCACATCCTAAGTGCTAGAACTACAGGCATGTACCACCAAGCCATTCATTGCACCCAAGGCCTCGTGCGTGGCAGGTAAGCTTTCCACCAACTGAGCTGTGTCCTCAGTTGTGTATACCTGTTGGTAAACTTTTAAGTTCTTAGCCATCTGTATTTGGGATCAACTTGAGGGTTTTCGTGTGTTCTTGGGAGAACCTCTGATAAGATATGTAGTCCCTTCTGTATTTGGTTACTGAGCTATTCCTACAGTCCCCACTGCAAAGCAGGATCGCTGGTGAGACCGGACAGTGCTTATAGACTCACCCACCTGTGAGGGTCATCTGGATCACAGTTAGGAAGAAACTGAGTGATTGCTTCTGCTACTTCTTCATTTGATAAAACATCCCAAAGTCCATCGGTGGCCAGGATCAGCACGTCATCTGCTCCATGCTCATATTTGGAGAGATCGTAGACTCTTACCTGAAAGAACAGGGAGACAGCAAGTGGGGAGATGGGGTGGGTGGGTTATTTGTTTGTTTTTGTTTTTTGGTCTCTAACCAAGTGGCTTCTGATTCCTTGCTTTTTCCTGTCTGGCCTACTATTTTTCACAGATGCACTACACGGTACTTGATCCCAGAGCAAGCTTTGGGGAGTGGGTAGCTTCTTTCTGGGACTTGCTTACTTTCTGGACTTTAGGCCTATTCAAAACTGGGAATGGGGCCTGGGAAGGGCTTAATAATTAACAAGAAAGATATGAGTTGAAAATGTAATGCCTGAGCTACAGCTGAAGTGATGACCTACACGTGGACCTTGTGTGAGCCACGATGGGCACGAGGCTGGCATGCTCAACTTTCTTTGCATATATCATGAGCCACACTTCCCCAATTGCTATAAATATAAAGTTAAAAAAAATAGGTTCTGCCATTTTAAGACACAGTCTGTAGTGGAGATGAAGTTCATTTGGGATTTTAAGAAATGGCTCCAGATGTATTTATTAAGGACTAAGAAGACATACTTTGTTTAATGCATAACGTATTTGAAATCATTCTTGCCTATTGTCTCTAAGACACAATGGCTACAACACTCCCCCTCCCTCCAGTAAGGATGTGGTTCTGATATTACACTTGGGGTTGACAAACTCCAATATGGGAAAGTCACAAAAGACCAAAGCTCAAAAGATGGAAGCTCAAACTGCATTTCCTTTGTTCGAGACAGGGTTTTTTTGTAGCCTTGGAGCCTGTCCTAGAACTCGCTCTGTAGACCAGGCTGGCCTCAAACACACAGAGATTGGCCTGCCTCTCTCCTGTACATTGAATGATAGTGATATTTCAATACTGGTCTAAGAAACTCTTTACAACAGATGGAGCACCTCTGGAAAACCAGAAAGAATTAAGATGCAAGTTTCATTAGGGTGAGCCAGAGAGCACAGAGGAGCAAAGAGGAGTTTGGGGTTTTCGTAGCCATTCCTTCCTGATTCTGCAGTCTCCTTGTTTACACTACTTCACAGAATGAGGACAAACATCAATTTAGTGACTCACCCACTTCCCCTCTCTCAACCCTTTTACCCTCCATGCCCAGGAAAAGCCCTGGGGTAGTGGTGAGAAGAGGCAAGGAGAATGTGGCATAAGCTGCTGCTCTGGTGTCCCTTCCCACTGGCTACACTGGTGGCATGTGGCCATCTCAGGTGTAGGTAACAGTATTATAAGAGGTCTACCAGATGGTTCAAATCCAGCCTTTGTTCTAGGTCAGTGACATCCTTTAGGGGCTGGTCCTATGGGTTAGCAGACAGCATGGTGGGTGCCTGAAACCAAAGGAATGATTAACCTGGTAGATAAGCTCAAATGAAAAGCAGTCACAGGTCCAGGCCTCTATGGCCTACAGATGAGACAGTGACAATTAGCTAATGGCCCAGTACCTGATGCCAACCCCAGGGGAAGAACACTCAGTGGCATACTCTACCAGCTTTTATACACACACACACACAAATTTTTTTTTTCCTCAAAAGGCATGCTTACTTAGGGTTGGGCTGACATTCTGCAGAAAGCACTGAGACTTCTGAGCAAGTGCGGGTGGGGTCATCAAAGCCCAGAAAGCAGAACTTGAATCCTCAGATCTCCTTCAAGTCATTCATGCCTTATTTCCCCTCAGTGGGAGGCAACCAACCCCTTTTGCTTTATTTTCTGTGGTTGCTGGGTGTGTTGGAGCCATGTTTCCTCAAATGTTAGTGTGTGGACCAGTCATCCAGGGAGCCTGAGCATAAGCAGATGCTTCTTAAGTTTTGAGTAGGGCATGAGAACCTACAGTTCCAGGGTGATGACAGAGGGGCAAATACTTGGACTACACTTGGAGTAGTAATGTCACAGGTGTCCTAATGGACCTGGAAATCAAGGCCTCTCTAGACTCTGTGATGCCAGACACAGTTTCCTGAGACTCTGGGAAGGGCAGTCAATGTCACTCCTAGGCTCACAACTCCAACTTCTACCTAGCCATGCTAAATTCAATGAGAATGGAATGTGTTCAGTGAGAGCTGGCTAGCTTCCCACTGAGGCTGATCTACAATAAGCTGCTGTGATCATCTGAGCTCCACCGAACAGGAAATGTTAAGTAACGGGAAGGTGGAGCATGTAGATGGGTTTGGCTCAGTCTTATATCTATAGTTAAGAGGAGTTTCCATTTGCCTCTCCATCCTTCCTAAAACAGATGTGTCCAGGTCTGAAGATAATACCAGTTCAGGATCTGCCCTGTGAACAGGGTGCCCACATGGCTTCAAAATGCTTTTTTGCAGGTCTAAGAAGTGGCTGGTTGATTCCTTCTGTATAAATTAGCCTGCCCCAGTCACTTGATGGAAATCTCGACAGTGGAACCATGTGGGTTCATACCAACATGCTAGAAGATGCTGCTGTTCAATTTCTCAACAATGGAAATCTTCACCAATTCTATTCGAATTTCCACTCACAGCACACTAATTCGGTTTTATTAGCCAGCATGAAAATCTCTTTCAATACCGTTTTCCACACAATTTTATGTAAATAATACAAAGCCGGTAGCAACCCCATTTCCCGGGGCACTCCTCAATTAACAGCCTTTTAGGTTTTTTACTGCTATCCTTTGTTTCCTGCCCTTCATCCAATTTCCAAAGGACTTTGCCAACTTTCCACTTTCAGCTCTGGTCTTGTACATTAACCTACGATACAGAACACTCTGCAAAAATGCTTTCAGGAAAATTGGACCGGTGTGTGAGCCATCCCATTCTGCACTTATGCTTGCCAGCAACTAGGGTTTCAGTGGATGACAGTGATCACGGCAGACCTAGCCTTCCTTCTCTGAGGTTGCTGTAGATCTTCTTCAATGAGAACCCCCCTCACAAGGTTCCTCTGTTCATCCTAAAATAGCTTTTCATGTTCCTGGAAGCCTCACATGAATCTAGTGGGCTTGGAGGCTCAGTAGAACCAAAACATCTGGAAGAGCATTGCCACAGGACCCTAAGGGGTGAGCTGCAAGGTGCAAGGAACACCTTGTGGGGAAAGAGGCTAGAAAACACACTGAGAGCTAGCTACTAATGGCTTCCCCTCCTTGTTCTGATCAACAAAGAAAGGAAGGAAGGGAGGGGCAACTAGAAGAAGCCTTGGGAGTTTTGCATTAAGTTAGAGTAATACATGGATGTACTCTGACTTAGGAAAGGGGTTATGTCCTGATCAACCCACTATTAAATTGAAGGTATGGAAAACTGAAGATGCACTTCACACACATAACCTATGATACATCACAGCCGAGTTAGTCTCCTGTAACTGTGTCTGCCCAAGCACTGTGATGCCAGTGCCACAGCCCAGCAGTGGTAGAGACAATTATTCATATTAAACTTCATCTTGCTAGCCAGGTAAAAGATCCAAATTCAAAATACAGTTGTATACTAGCATCGAATAAAGCAATTCCAAACCAAACCACACAAACCAAGTCAAAGACCACCTATTATCTAAACAGCTGAGGGGTCTTGACTCATGATCTCCTGGCCACTAGTACCTCTGGGTGTCGACTGCTGCTAGACAGCTGATGTCTGCCTTGATGACCTGCATCATCATCTAACTCTAGACCCATCTGCAAGACACTAGTGGATCATAGCATGATCCAACAGGCCTAGCTTGCTGACTCTGACATGGCTAAATAGTTATCAAAATTCAATAGGTTGTTTATGCAGAAGCAGGAGACTCTTGCATTTCCTTCTCCTATACTCAAGGAACATACTCAGTGCATGGTAAGGGAAATGAGTGGGAAGACAAGAGTCTTGGCTAATATGCCCTGGATGAACTAAAGTGCTGACAGCTCCCAGGGCTCTAGCTTTCCAGCATGTAGAGATGTCCTTCCCATCATCAATGACACCCACTTGACACAGCAGCTTGTGACTCTTTAATACAGTATCTCCACTTAGTGCTCAGCTGTAGATTGCTGTTTCAGCATTTGTGTGCTATGTGCCCCCCCCTTGTCCTATTACTGATATTTTGCTGGCATGCTAAGAAATTACAATCCTGTAAGCTGACTTAGGTGTCTTGAACTAATTTAAGAGAAGACCCCATCAATTTTCCCACTTGTCCCAGCTCCATGTCTTCTCTGGGATACCTTTACAGCTTTTGTGCTGGGGTCAAAGGTGTGAGCCACCATACCCTGGCAACCTTCACAGCTTTTATGCCTTCATTATCTCAGCAAAGTTGCACCTTTTTCTCCTGGTGAGTATACAGTGTGGGAAATGACAAGCTCCTGCAGCTCTGTGTGGCTTGAGGAGTGCAAGAGGACTCATGGCTTCAAGATTCAGTTTCTCATAAATCTTTGGGACTTTGAGATGGGTCTCCTGTAGCCCAGGCTGGCCTCGGAACTCACTATGTAGTTGAAGATGACTTTGAGCTTCTGATATTCCTGCCTTGACTTCATGAGCATAAGTGCTGGGATCACAGGTATGCACCACCATGCTGGATTTGTGCAAGCCAGGCAGCAATGACCCAACTGAGCTAGACAGCCCTGTGATTATTTTTTTAAACTGAAAATCAATCAAGAAAAAATCAAATTATAGTTCCTTCCCGCTCCACCGACCTGACCCCTACCAAGAGCCCTCGTCCAGTGGCTGATGGAAGCAGAGACAGACATCCACAGATGTACACTGAACTGAACTCTGGAACTTAGTTGAAGAGAGGGAGGAATGAAGATTGAAGGGGTTGGTACCTGGTTGGAGAAACCCACAGAAACAGCTGGCCTGAAAAAGGGGGAACACATCGACCCCAGATGCTGTCTGGGAGGCCAGTACAGGACTGATCCAGACCCCTGAACATGGATGTCAATGAGGAGGCCTCTGCACTCCAGGGGGCCCCTGGCAGAGGATTAGCATTCTTCCCTGGTGTAAAAAGGGACTTTGGGAGCCCATCCCACATGAAGGGATACACTCTTGCCCTGGACACATGGGGAAGGGCCCAGGCCCAGCCCCAGCCT